TTTTTAATATTAAAAGAATTTCATACTATACTCTTACATTTGGAAATGACTAACAGTTTAGTTTAGCTGTGCATTTCCAGACAACTTTATGTTCTTTAAAACTTGATCGTTTGGTACAAAAGTAAGATTGTCTTAAATATTTCTTGAATATTCCATAGGTATTAACTTATAATATCAACAATGTTAAGTATGGAATCTATCCTGTTTATATTTTATTTAAGATTAATTTTGCTTTACTCAACCAAAAAGCCAATAAAATTGTACTCCTTTGTATATACGGATTCCTAATATTTTATGAAGATATTTCATGTCTAGCCATTTCATTCCTTTACTTTCCGTACTAACAGGCACGCTAAGGACATGATACTTGCATGCTGCTTAGTTCAGGCCCTAAGTTTGTTCCACAACTCTTTTTGGCTTCTCTTGCTATTTGTAAGTCTTTCACATTGTTTCACCCACCTTTATATCTTTTTATTTGGTTTTTATTATATTCCTCTTAATGGGCTTAAGAAATGCGATCGTATTTTAACCTAAAATCCTAACCATTGAATCACAGACATATTCGCTGTGACCCCTATCCATTTTAGCTAATATAACAGCCCTTACACATTCTTAGATGGCTTCTGAATATTTAAATTTGCTTTGGGCCTTTGCCAATTTTATATCTCAATTGGCTACATTCAAAAGGAAATGGGTCGTCACTACTGCTTGTAAATCCTGAGTCATGCATTTTCTAGCTATCGCTCTGGGCTATCGCTAGTCGGATGGATGCTTATTATTTGGGGAGTTAATTCCTGATTGAGATTTATCCACTCAGTTTATTATTTATCATGGCGATCATTTTATCCTTGAATGTAAACTAGGAAGAAAACAGCCGTAGAAAGCATATGTGTGTGCTCTATCTCATGTGAAATTGATGAGCAACTCCATTACTAACAGTTATCTTTGCCTAATCAGGTATCAGCTATTAGCTTCAAATATGTATATTAGTATATGCCTGATTTCTTGGTTTGTCAGTAACTTTGCAATAGCATTTACCCTTATTAGTTGATAACAGGACTGACTAACCTAAATATTTCTTTGTCTGCCACTGAGCTATTGTGCTGTCATAGTACGGACGATCAAACGATTTCATCTGACTGCGATATTGAACATTGTTGCCCTAATAATATCTTTGGCTCTTGCCTACACACCATAATTTCCCCTTGCATTACGCAGCTGCCAGCACGTGGCCTCTACCTTTTATGGGTCAACATTCTGGCGCCCTGGATCTTTGATCCAAATCAAGAACCGGAGATTAATGAGAAAAAGCAGCGCAAATTGGAGCGTCGTCAAAAGCGTATGGCTAATGCAGGACGTTAGTCACTGAATTGCCCCTTATATTTACCTTTCTTTTTCGCTTGGCATCCTGTCTTTCTACTTATACTCGTTTCAGCCTCGAAATATGTCTGCTTCCTTTATAACCACTGAATATTTTTATTTCATTTCTACTTGTTCTCTACACTCACGATTACTCATAATCCATCACTTGTACATATTAGGCATACATTCTTGTCCGCATTATTTCGTATAACTTTGAATTGTTCTACATAATTTGCCTAATTTTTGTTCATTTGTATAACTATTTATTTATGGAAGCCTTAATAAAATATTTTATTTATTCTTCTCACTTTTCTTGTCTACTATTGCCATTTGTTCGTCATCAGTGGGGGCCAATATTAAGACCTACTAAAATATTCTCTGATGTGCTTTAATCAATCTATTTTACTCCCGTTCGCCCCCCCCAGGTGTCTGCTTACTGACAAAGATAAAATTGATTCCGTTTAACAGCGGCATATCATTATTCAGTGCTTATATTTCGAGCTTACTTTGGCAGTAGCAGATGACTTCGTAGAGAAATTCAAATCACCGATTCACTACAGAGAGATGCAAGGGCATTCATGGCTTACAGTCTCCCTGGGTTCAC